ACTACTCTATAATACATAGTTACTTTCTGATACTACACACATCACATATGCTGTATATATGCTCCATTCTTCCATGACACACTGAACAATTTACTATATACAGCAAGAATCAAGAAGACGACGCACATATATATTAGCTATAGGCCCAAGCTACATCATGTACATGTACCTTGTCTATCTTTATTGATAATATTGGTTGGAGGTATTGATGTGCGGCCTATTTGAATAATCTTACCGAAGATAGCCATGTGGGTGCCATGCATGTATGTATGTGTATGTCCAAGCGCCACTAGCAAACATCCCCTGCCACTGTCCGTTGTTACCATCCACATCAAACCATTATTATTTATTTGGCTGTCGTCTCACCTTTGTACAGTATCTTCTTCCTCGCTAGCAGCTATATCATGTCATCATTTAATTTGTTTGCATGATGTAGAGAGTGATGTGGACACCGTTACCTTGTTTTTGTTTTGTTGGAAGCCACACTCATAGTAATCAGACTGCATGCTTGCATTGGTTATACCAAAGTATGTCATATGTTTAGGGCATCTCCGGTGGCTTTTGAAAACCGACTCATCGGCTGAGATGGCAGGCCATGAGTCGACTCACAACCACTAGAGAACCACCGGTTCATGCAGGGTGTCAGGAATCGATTCAAAAACATGAGTCCATTCATAGAGATTAAAATAATATTTTAGCACACTGCAAACAACGGCCATGACCCAACCATTATTCCCAAGAACATGAGTTCAATTGCTCTATATAAGAATTGCACAACTAGTTTCCATTCCACAAAATATAAGCAGATATAGAAATGCTCCCTCTTCTCCAGTTTATAAAACACAAGCAATAGATAAATTGCTGACCCTTCCCATTTCACAAAACATGAGCACCTACACAAATCAGCTCTCCTCTGATGGACAAAGATGGAGGGGTCTGCAATCGTGGTGAGCAGCAAGCTTGGGGGCTCGATGCATGGAGAATTCGTTGGACAAGAGAAGACCGGCCGACTTTTCTCATGGTGTCGAGTTGTTGCCACAACTCACTAATCCACAGAGGAGCAGCCACTAAGGCTTAAGCTCCCTTGAACCACAAGTCTCAAGATCAACTAGGAGTACCTATTCTTCACGCCACATTAGCAGGTCTCAAACCGAACACAAAGCAAGGAGCCTTCCAACAATAACTCCATCAATGGAAGGTCATGGATAATCTACAGAGAGCTAAATAGACATCACCAGATCATACGGTGAACACCAAAGACTTGGGCAACTTGATCTCAAACCTAATACAGTGTCATTCAATTATCCGTTGTGTACCACACAAGCTGCACCAAATCATACAGTGAAGCCTTGGTCATGTTCAAATCATAATAAATCCACCAAATCATACTCTGGTCACAAAAATCCCATCATCGAATCATAGGGTTAACAACACCAAACAACACACAATCTCGAGTAGGGTCATCAGATGATAGTTTGTTCTTATATTTTTTTCTCGAAAAGGAGTGTAGCACCCAGTTTTAAGAATAAAACTAGATACACACCATATATGAGCCCAGAAAGTCAAATCTCACATATAGCTATAAATAAGGGTAATATCATAAGATAATGCTTATTACATAGCGTATTAGTATAAAGAATAAAACCTCAGAGTATAGATAGCGGAAAGACAACTCCGATCTTCAAGCGAAGACTCCACTTCCATAGGGACAACTGACTGGTTGATCACAAGCCTAATTCTTCCAAACTCTAGCAATCTGGTACCAATCCGGGATTTTTATCCAAATAATTAAAAAATAAAGCAAGCGTAAGTACATGTCATACTCAACAAATATAACATTTCAAAAAAGCGCAATTAAATGAGTCATCTTTTAGCAATTGGGTGGCAACAAGTTTATTCACAAGCCCATATAAACACATGATCAGATAGACATGAATAATGAATAGCATAAACAGTAATCATTAATAAGCATCTTTATCATCAGTACCAATCGGTCACACCCAATTTTAAGGATAAAATGGGATGCAAAATCTTATGTGCGCCTAGAGATTAGTCACACACATAAGCCGACAAATTATAAATAGTATCATCACAAGTGTTTATTACATCACGAATAATAAGACAGAGTCTTCACATAAATATTATGGAAATATAAAGATAAATCTCTCGTGGAAGCTCCAAATCATAGGGACATCAACTGGTTGACCACAACTCTAGTATTCCTTAGGGAAGTCGTCATTACCATAGCCATCTGTTACCTATCCGGGATTTTTATCCAAATAATGAAAATAAACAAGCGTAAGTACGTGTTGTACTCAACAAGTGTAACATGGGGTTCATGAGGCTCAAAAGGCTTGACACAGGTTTAACAACATTCATCTTTTAGTTGTCACAATTTTAGCATAAGAGTAGTAAGAAGTTATTTCAATCCCAAAGTAAAACACATGATCAATGTAAACATGAATAATGAATAGCATAAACGGATAATTCTTAGTGATCATCTATTCCATATGGGTTCCAAGGCCGCTCGTGACCATGAGCACGGCTGATATACTAGTTTTACACTCTACAGAGGTTGTACACTTTCACTATGAGTCATGATTTACCCTTTCGCCCGAGAGTCACGAGCCTCTTAACCCACTACCAAGGAAGGTTGGTAGGGTTCACTGTGAAGCCTTTCAAAGGTTCGTCTAACAAGTTAGGGCCATTAAATTCACTCGGCAAACAGATGTAGAGCCCCCCTTCCTGATGGCACATTGACACGCAGCCTATATTCATGGGGACAGAGGCCACACTATACCCGATTCGGCAAGCCATTCTTACGCCAATAAAGGTAACCACTAACAAGCTAAAAATATCCTCATACTGAGCTAAAGCTAGAGCCATGTAGCTCTCACAGTAGTACTATAAGTCATGGATGATCACTTATAGATAAATTCTTAGGGAGAGGAATCTAGAGCACCATAAAAATAGCCCAATGCTCTAACCCCCTTGTTCCATGTTGCTAAAAAGCATCTTTTAGTGTTTATTGCATAATCCATTAGTCAAGTTACAAGATTATGGCTTTAGTTGAGCACTAGCATCATACTACCCAATGCATATCCCATAGGAGACAAGGTATAAGTTCAATTCTAGGGAATCCCTATCAAGGTGACACATGCAACATGAATTAAATGTATTAAGGTGAATAGGAAACAAGGATGATCCCATGCTATACTTGCCTTGAACAAAATGCTCTTGTTCATCCTGCTCGTCAAAGTAGTACCCTGGTTCACCCACGTATTGCTCACCGTCTATACTCGATAATCACAAAAACATACACACATCCAGAAGCAATCATGCATAACAAACAAAAGCTATAGATTAGAACAGTACACCAATCAGCATAAAATCAAGGTGAAAAGTTTGTAAAACGAATCTACGTCTCACTACGAACACACAGACGCGAAGATCATAAAAATTGGAGCTAAAACAAAGAAGTTATGAATTAAACAAGATTTTCTTCAGTAAAATAATAGATTAAACCTAACCTCGAATTTTAAAAGTTGAAAACATACTTAACGGTAGTATGAACATGTAGATTATGGAATTACGAACCTAACACGAGTTGAACGGATCAAATCAGAGTTAAAACGAAGATTTTATGGCCTATAGAAGGTAGTGGCGGTTTTGTAAATAGATAGACTTGATTTTTGAATTAAAATACATAAAATCTGATTTTTAAATCGGACCGAGGACTGCGGGAGCTATTAAAAGAAAAAACAGGGGTCCTTTTGAAAGAAACCAGGGACGGCGGATTCTATATTAAAAAGAAGAGGGTCTCTTTAGCAATATTACCACGGAACTGGTACCTTCTAATCTAAGCCCTAGATCTCAGATTGGACGGCTCAAAGTGATTGGGAGGGATGGGGTCGCCGGAGCGGCGCTATGCGCAGCGGCACCATTGATGGCACCTCGCCGGTGTTGGGCGAATTAGTGACTCAGGCCACCGTTTGGCTCAGGAGGAGGTCAGGGAGCAAGAGGAGCTCAAGATGAACTCGATTGAGGGAACTAGGGCGGCTGCGATGACACGGTGGTGAAGTGATGGTCGATTTAGCAGCTCGGAAATCCGGCGATGCATCGGTGACGCGGCGAGAAGAAAAGAGAGCGAGAGAGAAGAGAAGGCGGGTACCGGAGGTTCACTACAAAAAATATGAAGATCTATGACAAATTTTTTGTGACGATGAGTCAATTCGTCAATAAGTCATTCTGTTTTATGACGACTTTCAGGAGGAGAATGACTTTTTGACGAAAATAATGTGTTCGTCATTAAGACACAATAAAAATCGTCATAACCTAGAGAAGTAGTTTGTTTATGATGATCTATGTTCCGTCATAACATGCTACCTTGCGGTCGTCATAAATTATTGACAATATTAGTTTGTTATAACTTTTTATTTACATATAATAAATGAGATATTTGGTCCCAGTGTCGGTTGTATTTTAATGGGCTCTATATGTAATGTTATTTTCAAAAAATAAAAAACAAAAAATCATCTTCGTCCCGTCATATGATATGAAAAAGGTATAATACTTTTCCCATAAGGTAGAGGTAAAAGATTCAGAAAGTACAAAAATTAAGACAATGGCAAGATTTGAACCTGAGATCCTATTGTTAACATACATGAGTCTTAACCACTAGGACATCAACACCTGATTGCTAACATTTCCTAAGGTAGATGTATTCTCTGCCAGGTGAGGGTAGCCCAGGCCAACCAGACGGGCTCGTGTCCAAGCGGTGGCAGCCCAGCAGGCCTGCAACGGAGCGCTCGCACGGCGTGGGCACTGGGCAGCCCAGCTGGCCTCGGCACTCTTATTCGCAAAAAAATGCAAAACAAAACACCCCACGGAGATTCGAACTTCGGACCTCTCACATGTGAATGAGTAGCGTTAGCCACCAGACCAGAGAAGTGTTCACGTCTATTCTAGTGTTTTTATTTTTTATCTCTGACTCAATACTAATGAAGAATAAATATCCCGTTCTTCCCTGGGGAGTCCGTGAGTATTCGCACATGCGCCGGCGGCTGCTCCTGATTGAACGCCGCCCGTCCACCCAACCAATGCTCCCGTCGCCCCTCAGCTCCGCCTCCGCGCCTATGTGCTCCTCCTCCGTGGCGAGCTCCTCCTTCTCCACATCTTCTCTGTGCTTCTGATTGGGAACAGGGCGCAGCGGCACTCCGGTAGATCCATCCGCGACCGTCTGCCCCGACCCTGCTTGGCAGCTGGGCAGTGGGCGCTGCCAGGTGCGCGGCCGCCAGCCATTGCACACTGCCCCGAGCGTCTACAGTGCTGCTCAGGTCCCAGCGCCCTTGCAGCCCCGCCCCTACTGCACAGAGCTCACGGGAGTCACGGTGAGTATCGATTTCTGATTTTGATTTTATCGTATGCAATCAATAAGAATAGTATCCATATTCATTCAAGATAATAATCATGTCAGCTTCTCATTAAATTCAGCATACCATGTGCTAAGAAAATTTACCATGTGCTCAATCAGAATAATATTTATATTCACACATGATTTTAGAGCTGCAGCTTGCTAATGTATATATACTTCAAGCTTAGTTTCTAAGTTATTTAAATGTTCTGCAGATGGACAGAAGTTGGATCAATAGTAGGCTATTTGGCAAGCCACATCTGGACGGGGTCAGTGAGTTCATGAAGCTTGTTTCAGAAAACTTTGGTGCGGATGAACAGATACTCGGATTTCTGGACATAAAGGACTGGTGGAGGATCACTTATATATTTATGGAATGGCTAGCACGTACACTAGGTGGATCTATCATGGAGAACCAATGGAGGACACAATGATTGAAAATACTGGCCATCAGGATGAACAGATTGATTTCACCGCGGATGTTAATTTGAATGAGGTTGAAGAAGGCGACCCTAATGATAGAATTCCTGATATGGTACGGGAGTTGTTCACATCTGAAGAAGAAGGTCGAAGGAAAAAATCAATGTTTGCTATACTATTAGAAGAGATGAAGCAAGAACTTTACCCTGGTGCAGCTTATTCAAGATTTTCTTTTGTGGTGAAATTACTTCATATCAAGTCATTTTATCGAATCAGTAATGTTGCATTTACTGCATTCGTGAAGTTGTTAGCAGATGCATTCCCACATTGCTCTATTCCTGCATCTTACGAGGAAGCAAAGAAACTTATTCGTGCTTTGGGACTTGGATATAATACAATCCATGTGTGCCCGAATAACTGTGTATTGTTTCGGAAGAATTATGCAGCACACGATGTGTGTCCAGTATGTAGCGCATCAAGATGGAAAGATAAAGATGGAAGGAAAAAAATTCCTGAGAAAGTATTGCGTCATTTTCCATTGATTCCAAGGCTGAAAAGGATGTTTGCTTCCAAAGAAATATCTGAATTGGCACAATGGCATAAGTTGAAAAGAAATGCAGTGGAGAATGAGCTCAGTCACCCAGCTGACGGTGAGGCATGGAAAGCATTTGATACTAAATATGCTTGGTTTGCCCAAGATGCAAGAAACATTAGACTTGGCCTTGCTACAGATGGTTTTAATCCATTTGGCAAAATGAACTCCTCGTACAGTATGTGGCCTGTATTTCTTATCCCTTACAACTTTCCACCATGGGAATGTATGGAGCAATCGAACTTCATCATGGGCTTACTCATCCCTGGTCCATTATGCCCTGGAAAGGACTTCGATGTATTTTTGGAGCCACTCATTGAAGAGTTGCTAGATCATTGGAAAGGTGTCCCTACTTTGGATGCATTGACTGACAAATCTTTTGATCTACATGCTGCAGTTATATGGTGCATTCATGATTATCCAGCTTTGAGCACATTGTCAGGTCGAGTCACAAGAGGCTATTATGCTTGTGTCCGTTGTGACAAAGATCCTTGCTCTAGAAGAATAAGGAATAAGATATGCTATATTGGCCATCGGCGCTTCCTTCCAAGGGATCATCCATGGAGGAAAAAGAAATGGTTTGATGGAAAGGATGAAGAACGTGACAAGCCAGAAGAATTTAGCAGTGATGAGTTGAAGCAACAATTGGAGAGGGTCATGGATGTTAGACCTGGGATGCATCCTCAGAACAAAAAGAGGAAGATGGGAGAAAATGGTCAATGTTGGAAGCTAAGGTCATCTTTGTGGGATTTGCCATATTGGTCGAGTTTGAAGCTGCGTCATAATCTTGATGTTATGCATATCGAGAAAAACATATGTGAGTACATTCTTGGTACATTTCTCGGCATTGCTGGCAAGACAAAGGACACCATTAATGGTAGGCTTGATTTGGAAGACATGGGCATAAGGAAAAACTTGCACTTGAAGCGTGATGGAAATTCATATAGTGTTCCACATGCCCCCTATGTATTAAATAAAACACAAAAACTTGCTTTTTGTGAATTTTTTAGAAGTGTAAAATTCCCAGATGGATATGCTTCTAACTTAGCATCATGTATCAGTGTTGATGGATGCAACCTCCAAGGATTGAAAACTCACGATTGCCATATACTACTACAAAGGATTTTACCCGCTGCTGTTCGAGGAATCATGCATAAGGACATATATGAAGCAATAAGTGAATTGGGTAACTTCTTTCAGAAATTATGTGCTAAGACTTTGAAGATAGATGTTTTGCATAGAATGAAAGATGAAATCCCAATCATTTTGTGCAAGCTGGAGAGAATATTTCCTCCTCCTTTCTTTGATGTGATGCTACACTTGGCTGTTCATTTACCTGATGAAGCAATCCTAAGAGGCCCGGTACAATATGGATGGATGTACCTAGTAGAAAGAAGGTTGTATACTTTGAAACGTTTTGTTAGAAACATGGCAAGACCAGAAGGATCCATTGCAGAAGCATATGTCGCTAAAGAGTGTTTGATGGCTTGCTCGAGGTATTTTGATGATGTTGACACACGATACAATCGAGAGGGTAGAAATAGAGAGCGTGTTGATTTGAGAACAGGTGATGCAGGTTATGCAGGTTTCACAGAATGTGCCTTGCGACACCATCGTTGCTAATGGAGGAGCAAGAGGTTCAAAGAGAGTGCGAGCACCTGATGAACAAGGCCAAAATCAACCTCCTAGAGTGACTAGGCAGAGGACAAAGGAACTGATTCGAAGCGAGGAAGGCATCCATGCTGCAACTACAACTATACAAGAAGATGCATTGACTATTGCCAAATTGTCTTAACCAAACCGACCATGATACGAAATGCATAAAGAAGGCAAGAAAGCAATACTCCTTTCTCCAAGAATATGGTTTACACATTTGCATATTAAAATGATTTGCACTAGCTATTTAACAATGCCACTTATTTCCGTGTCAATCAAATCACAATTGTAGATCGATGGAATAAAGGAAAAAGCATGGGCGAGAGACTTGGATCGCATAAGCCGAGGCTTAAACACTAGAATTCGGTGGTCATTGCTGAAGGGAAGAAAGCGACTGAGCCGCCTATGCAAGCTGCAAAGTTGGCATCGGAAGGGGGATTATCTTGAGGCAACATATACCAATCTTTACACACCGGAAGGAGTACAAGGATATCAAGAACAAGGATATTCTTCCAGGCTACATGGGCAAAATTTCTGTAAGTGGATAAAGGCTATATGTTCAGTTTTTATCGGGTGTACTGTGCATGATCTATGTTTACTCCTATATATGAGTAATATTTTTCTGCCTCCAGTAGCATATGACAAGGAGCTTAACTGTTAACATTATGCTAGGACTGCCAATATATTTTTCTGCCTCAATCTTTACATGTTCTTTTATTCCATTGATGTTGTAATGATCTGCTTAACTTACATCAAATGTAAGCACCACCATAAAAAGTTTATCTGTAGTATTATCTACTTGAAATGTTTGGTATGTTTGTTTATTTTGAGTGCCACTGCCAATATATAATAAACTGAAATGAAGCGGAAAGCAAGAAAGTATGTTCTCTATTTCTCACCACATTCTAAAAATTTAGAACCTTCTATAAACATTTTGTCCTGCTACTTTTCTATTGACCGCCAATTTAGAACCTTGTGCTCTTGCTCTTTGTTGCATTGTGATTTTCTAAAGTTTCCTGTCAGGTTAATGTTAAAATTTTTCTATCACATTATATACTTCTAACACCTATTTTCTCGATGCACATGCTCTTGACATGTTGTTGACTAGAATCAATTAGCAATTGATACTTGATAGCAAGCCACCAAAGAGGCATGTGTTGATTTGCTCAAGATCGAACACGACAAATGAGGTACAATTTGAAGAAGCTTTACTTCAATGGTGTACCAAGAGACAAAGTTAGAACAACATCACCATTGAAGAGTATGACTGATGATCAATGGAGAGAGTGGTGGAGATGTGGTCAAGCCCAAAGCACAAGGCATGTTGGTCTATTGCTTTCTTAAGCCATTTATTTTTCTTGCATTGGTTTGTTGCATGTTTGAGTTTATTTCTTCGTATTGTACACCAATTTGATTGTGTCTAAGATTCTGTAGCTATGCTATATTGGATTGTATATAGTAGGCCATCCTTATAATTATACCTAAAGTTACTTGGCTTGTTACCACGATAATTGTGTGCTCATTAGATATTAATGAGCCTATTGGGTTGCTACACTCAATACAACTGCACTCATTATATTTTAGCGACAACATATAGGGTTGTGTTGCAGTTTGGTCTTCTAGAATAGGGCACAATCTTTGGCTATGATTACTTTCTGTTTTTCAAATTGTTTTAGGTTAATAACTTGTTGTGGACATAAATTCAACTACACTTAAAGAGTGTTGATGTTTGTTGAATATCTTAGCAAATCTGGTTTCAAATTCATCTAATTTTATCTCTCTTATAGCCATTCTTCCCTCCTTACTAAATTGTTCCTCACAGGGACAAGCGTGCAAAAATGCACTTAACCATGAGAAAGTAAGGTTTCATCGGATGACAGGATCTCGGTGCTATATTACGACAACCCATGCCTTGGTAAGATATGGAAACATTGTGTTACAATCATTCATCATTGAACAATTATTCTTATAATTTTACACCTACAAAATGTTTGTGAATAATTTTAGAAGCAAGAGAAATATAAAGATGAACCACCCAAAGCGATAGATCTTTTCAAGGCCCTACATTGCAAAGAGCAAGACTGGGTTTAATGAGTCTCAAAGGAAGCTATTGTAAGTACAAGCTTCATTTTGAACTATATATATATCTGAACAAATGTTATTGGTTTTAGTTGAGTCTGTAATATGTACATGCTTCCTGCTTTGTTACTTGTGAGACACAGAACAACAACTTGTTCATGTGTAGCAAAGAACTTCCTGTTCATGTGTAGCAAAGACTTGTACATGCTTTCTGCTGTTCTAAGGAACAATGATCAATTGTTGCATGTGTAACAACAGCTTATTCATGCTAATCTGGCAAGATTGTACTGCATGATGTCACTGATGTTGAGAAACTCTCTTAATAGCACATGTAAACTTGTAGACACCGCCAAAAAAGAAATATTCCCAAATTCCTAACTCAGTCTTCAAATGAGTCATCATTCCAAACTGTGTAGTGTAATAGTTTGTAGCATAAATGATCTCACTATATTGAATCGGAAAGAGTCATCTGTGTCATGCTCAATTATGGTAAAATATTCAGTTGGAAAAATATTTTCGTGCTTTAAATGGCCTTTAATGTGAACCTTGATTGTACATCTGTTTTACAAAGCTTGCATTCACTTATTTGAGCAACACTACTATTAATTATGACCACCTTTCTGTTGGTCTTAAATATATTAGTCGGTAATTAATTTCAAACTGTCTTATTGATATGTTGATGTTTTTAGGCTGAAATGGAATCCATTCTTCTTTGCGATGAGAAGACGCCAAGTTGTAAAGACCCCTTCTGAAGTTGTTGCTCAAGTGTTGCCGAAATCAAAATTTCTTCAAAATATTGGCCTTCGGCCAGCAGCCCCCAAGAGAAGTTCTAAAGCCATTAATGATGCACGGGTTATAGAACTTGAAGCAGAAGTTGCAGCTGGAAAGCAAGACAAAGAACTAAAGGATGAGATGGAGACTTTGAAGAAGAAGATGGAGGAATCGAGAAAATGAATGAAGACGCAGTCATTAGAAGAGACAGAAGCGAGCTTGAAGAAGGCACAAGATGAGTTGAAGAAGGCACAAGACGAGACAAATGCTTTCTTTAAATCGCATGTTCAAAGAAAAAGTAAGGCCATTCCTTTAACTCTATAAGTTTGCAGATGCATATGGTTGGATGTCTGATTTTGGAACTTGGCTACTTAGACCATATTATTTTATGCTACAAACATTTGGTAGTGCTATTATATGAGATTTGGCTGATCTAGTTCAGATTATGCTACAAACATTGGTAGTGCTGTTATTTTGAGACATGTCTGATCTGGTTCAGACCATATTAATTTCTGCTATGTATCTTGTTAGTGTTGTCTTTTTCTATGTGGAAATGTGTTATCTGGGATTTGTAAAATTACTGATGGATGTGACCATATTTATCTATCCTTTGGAATGAGATCTGGATGATCGATGAATGTGTATGGGTTGTGATGCATCTACGGATTATATATATGAATGAGATTCTGGATGATCTGGATGATTTGATGAGATTCTGTTATGTAATGGATGCCGAAATGGGCTGTTATGTAATGGATGTTGAAATAGGCTGTTATGTAATGAAAGTTGAAATGAGCTGATTATGTATGGATGCTGAAAAGGCTGTTTTCTCAACATATTTAAATGGGCTAGCCTTTTCTGGCCCACTAAATAAATACGCCGCAAAAAAAAATTGGCCTAGAAAAAGTTGAAATGAGCTGATTATGTATGGATGCTGAAAAGGCTGTTTTCTCAACATGTTTAAATGGGCTAGGCCTTTTCTGGCCCACTAAATAAATAGGCCGCAAAAAAAATTGGCCCACAAATTGACAACTTTACTTATAAATGGGCTTTGCAAAGTATAAATTTGGCTCACAATTATATTTGGTCCAATAAAAACCTGCTTAGTACATAGGCCTAGCTAGGCCTTAAGATATTTAGTGACGACTTTTTAATCAGGTCGTCAAAAAATTATTATGAAAAAATATGCAGTCGTCATAGAACTAGATTTACCACGCATGATCTATGACAAATGGTTTATCGTCATGCAGTAGTCATAAATACATCTGCTATGATGAAAATACTAGAAATAATGATGATAACAGGTCGTAGAAACTTGGCAAGGCAACCTCGCGTAGATTTCTTGTAGTGTTTTCTTACCTCGCGTAGAAACTTGGCAAGGCAACCTCGGAGGCGAAGGCGCGGCGGAGCAGCGAGTCCCACGGCAGTAGATCTCCGGTGGCGTGCGGCATGGCTTAGGGCACGGGGCGGCTGCGGCTTGCTCAGCTATGGTAGGGAAGCGACATGGGCATGGGCGGCTACTATTTATGGCCGATTCGGCTTGGGCAGCACAAGGCGCGAGCATAGAGGAGGCGGTCACGGCGGCGATGGCAGTGTCCTGCTCGGACATGGGCGAGGACGAAGACTCTGACAGGGTGGTCCCGGCTGTCAGTGAGAGTGAGGAAGGAGGAGCGCGGCGCGCGGCTGGGCAGCTTACTAGGCCGCTGCGGAGAAGCGGAGCCTGCGGGCGGGCCGAAACGGGAGAGAGGCAGGCCGCGTAGGAGCTGGGCCAGCAGGCCGAATAGAGGGGAGGAGAAAGGAAATCCTTCTCTTTTTCTTTTTCCTAATTTTCAAACCAATTTTGAAATGCAAATTCAAATCAATTTGAAGTTTGATTTCAACCCACATAATACAAAAATAATATGCAGCAGCATGAGTGCACATATATGTTTGTCGACCTATATTTGATTTTAATTTTAACACGGTTATTATTTTCCTAAATTTAAATGCTCACAAAATGCATAATTAAATCATTTCTCCTATTTTAAAATCATGCAAATTTTAGGGTGTTACAAGGAGAGATGCGCTTTATTATATTAAGAAGAAAATGGGACAAGAACCCAGTTACCACACACCACAAACACCACAAATAAGTTACAAACACACTGATTAAAGATAGGTCAAAGAACAACCCGTCTCAGAAACCCCGCTCAAGACCCAGCCATGGGGGCAGTCAGGAAGGAGATTCCTTTAGCCCCCTGCCATAGACCAAAGTTGACGTTGTTCTCCTGCGCTTGAGAAACACTAGGAGTTATACCATAAAAAACAGAACGGTTCCGGTGGTTCCATATGATCCAAGCGCCCAATATTATCATAGAGTTGAGCCCACGCTGGACCATACCACTAGTTGCTTCATTGACTCTCTACCACCAAGCGTCAAAGAATTGATCCGAGAGTTGAGGAGCTGTAACACCCGGTTTCAAGGCCAAAGCCGAATGCACACCATATGTGAGCCCTGGAAATCAAATCTCACATATAGCTACAAATGAAGGGGCAGTATCAATTCATAATGCTTAATATATAGCGAACTTAGCAAAAGAGATAACCTTAGAAAGCAATTAACGGATAGACAACTCTGATCTCTGGGTGCAGACTTCACTCCACTTGATCTAACTGACTGGTTGATCACAAGCCTAAACTCTTCCTAAGGTGGGAAAATAGCAAGAGTGAGTCCATGTCGAACTCAACAAATATAGCCAGGGGTTTATGAGGCTCAATAAGCTGACACTGGTTTACTGCGGTTAGCAATTAATTGATCATCCAATTTAGCATTTATTAGCATCAAGGTAGTAGCAAAACCCATTTACACATGATCAATGAACATGAATAATCAATATCTTAAACAAACATAAATGATCATCTTAACAAGTAAAAGTCATTATCCCTTAATGTAAGTGTTCTAAGGTCGCCCGTATCCGTGAGCACGGCTAGTATACCAGTTTGTTAACTCTGCGTAGAGGTGTACACTTTCACTGTGAGTCATGATTCTCGTATGCCCGGGTTAGCTAGGCCCAAAGCACAGAGAACCATATAAAGCCACCCAAGAGCTCGTCTAACCGGCCAGGGCCGTAGGGTCATCAAATATAGGAACCCCCTTCCAAAAATAAAGTAAAAGGCCGCTTCCAAAGCTAGGCTCAACAGGACAGAGGTTGTCCTATACCCAACTCACGAGACATCTAACCAAACTAGAAAAGGGTTTCTCAAGCGACTAGAGCCGAGCCATATAGCCCTCACAAATTTGTCACGTTAAATCCCGGATAATCGCCACAAGACAAGACCTTATGTTGCTAAAAAGTCATCTTGTTTATGTTTATAGCATATTCATTAATCAAGTTTCAAGATCATGATTGTTGCACTAGCAATAGAACTACCCAATGCAAACCTCCCAAGGTGACAAGGTAATTGAGTATTCAAAACCTAGGAAATCCTACCATAGGTAGCAAGGAAGACACATGCATATGTATTTTAGTGAGCATCATGAATAGGACAACAAGGATGGTCCTTAGCTATACTTGCCTTAAACTTGCTTTACACCCAAAGCAACTTGCTTAGAGAAGCCCCAACTTTATCTTCCATTTTACAACTTCTACGACTTTCGGCACTCAACTTCGATCTCCAAATGTTATAAACGGTTCTTTGTTCTACTCGAAGCAAACACCACGCAAAGGCAAACATACAAGAAACAAAGTAGACTAAGACAACACACCACATAAGATAAAACATCGTACTAAATGTTACTACGACCGCGAGAGCGTAGGAAACGACTATCAGGAGCTTTTATATATATTATAAGACTAACGACTATTGATTTATTTTAACTAATTAAAACCAAGTGAAGAACAATAATTGAAACTGGTCAAAACATTTTTAATTTGAAAAATCGAGTTTAACCATATTTTATATTTATAGACATGCATGTGTTATTTAATCAACATAAACTTTAACTTTTCAAATTAAAAGAACATGTAAAAGCATCTACACTATAACTGAATATGACGTGAGTTCAGCTAAACAAATTATAATCAAACATATATTTAAATTGATATAACCGGTTTAATATTCATTTATTAAGGCCGACGTGGAAAACCTATATTGCTTTTAATTAATTTAGAAAGCTAGTTGCACATTAATCTTAATCAAGTTAATATTTAAGTTCACAATGTATACTCCTAAATCTGAGCTAAAACAAATCATGTTTTATTTATAAATGTTGCCGTATAGATTAATCAAGTCAAACTTTTAACTTTGCAAAAGTAAAATGCACGTGAGAGCATCTAACAAGTTTAATATATGCAAGGTGTGTTTAAACTAATCAAACTATAATTTAGGAATACATTTATATTGATAATTAATCATATGAATATCATTTATTAAATACTGAAGTGTAACATATATATATATATATATATGCTTTTAAGTTAGAAAACTAATTGGTTGTAGGTTAATCAGATTAATATGTAAATTATAAAATTCATAGCCAGGTGATAGGATGACCATCGATACTAGCACGTAAATTACGTCGGCACGAAACTTACATAACTTGAACAAAGCAAAACACAGAGACGCGGCGAGTACTTACAGCCCGAACTAGCTGACAACCGGTTCGCCTTCCAAATGCTGCTGGTGCGTAGCCCAATTTTAAGGATAAAATGGGGTGCAAAACTTTATGTGTGCCCAGAGATCAGTCACACACATAAGTCGACAAATTATGAATAGTATCATCACCAATGTTTATTTCATCACGAATAAGACAGAGTTATTACATAAGTATAGCGGAAATAATAAAAAGATCTCTCGCGGAAGCTCCAAATCACAGGGACGTCGACTGGTTGACCACGGGGAAATCATCATTCTCAAGGTCATCTGTTACCCATCCGGGATTTTTATGCAAATAATGAAAATAAACAAGCGTAAGTACATGTCGTACTTAACAAGTGTAACACGGGGTTCATGAGGCTCAAAAGGCTAGACACAGGTTTAACAGCGTTCAGCTTTTAGTTGTCACAATTTTAGCTTATGAGTAGCATCAAGTTGTTTCAGTTCCCAAAGTAGAACACATGATCAAATGTAAACATGAGTAATGAATAGCATAAACAGATAAAGTTTAATGTTCATCTATTCCATAAATGTTCCAAGGCCGCTCG